GAATCATAAGATATTAAAATATATTTACCTTAATATTCGTTGATACTTGCAGCGAAGACATCATTAGACACTTGAGATGTTTATTCGTCAAAAGAAAAAGGAGAAATGATTCGGTAATCGCGATTTAGACTTCTTAATGTTTAAATAAATGTACTATTGTTTAAATATTACTCAATTATATCGCGTGTGCAATAAAAATCGTTTAAATAATTATAAAATTACCGAAAATATTAATTTATAAGCTTTAGCGTTTGGAAAGAGAGAATTTAGATGTGCACACGTTAGAGTGTAAGGGATAACTGACTTGTAAACTGTCAAAGTTAATCGAAGAACCGATTATGTTTATGCTACACAAGGACAACTACCCCGAAATTAAAATTTTTAAATACCGGAATATAATTTAAATTATTCTAAGTCCCGCGGGAGTTTCCGACTCTTTAATGTTTAAATAAATCTACTATTATTTAAATATTACTGTAATTTATCTCGCGTACATGATAGATTGTTTAAATAATTGAAAGTTTATCGAAACTAATAATTTATAAGTAATTCCGTACGAAAAGAAAGGGTTTCGATGTGTTCGCGTCGGAGGTTAAAAGAAAACTAACTCGGTAATTGTCAAAGTTAAGAAAGAACGAGTTTATGTTTATATTACACAAGGCTAACTATCGCGAGATTAAAATTTGAAAGTAATCGAATTTTATTCTAAGTCCCGCGCGAGTTTCCGACTCTTTAATGTTTAAATAAATCTACTATTCTTTAAATATTACTTTATTTTATCCCGCGTACACGATAGATTGTTTAAATAATTGAAAGTTTATCGAAACTAATAATTTATAAGTAATTCCGTACGAAAAGAAAGGGTTTCGATGTGTTCGCGTCGGAGGTTAAAAGAAAACTAACTCGGTAATTGTCAAAGTTAAGAAAGAACGAGTTTATGTTTATATTACACAAGGCTAACTATCGCGAGATTAAAATTTGAAAGTAATCGAATTTTATTCTAAGTCCCGCGCGAGTTTCCGACTCTTTAATGTTTAAATAAATCTACTATTCTTTAAATATTACTTTATTTTATCCCGCGTACACGATAGGTTGTTTAAATAATTGAAAGTTTATCGAAACTAATAATTTATAAGTAATTCCGTACGAAAAGAAAGGGTTTCGATGTGTTCGCGTCGGAGGTTAAAAGAAAACTAACTCGGTAATTGTCAAAGTTAAGAAAGAACGAGTTTATGTTTATATTACACAAGGCTAACTATCGCGAGATTAAAATTTGAAAGTAATCGAATTTTATTCTAAGTCCCGCGCGAGTTTCCGACTCTTTAATGTTTAAATAAATCTACTATTATTTAAATATTACTGTAATTTATTCCGCGTACACGATAGATTGTTTAAATAATTGAAAGTTTATCGAAACTAATAATTTATAAGTAATTCCGTACGATAAGAAAGAGTTTCGATGTGTTCGCGTCGGAGGTTAAAAGAAAACTAACTCGGTAATTGTCAAAGTTTAAAAAGAACAAGTTTATGTTTATATTACACAAGGCTAACTATCGCGAGATTAAAATTTGAAAGTAATCGAATTTTATTCTAAGTCCCGCGCGAGTTTCCGACTCTTTAATGTTTAAATAAATCTACTATTATTTAAATATTACTGTAATTTATTCCGCGTACATGATAGATTGTTTAAATAATTGAAAGTTTATCGAAACTAATAATTTATAAGTAATTCCGTACGATAAGAAAGAGTTTCGATGTGTTCGCGTCGGAAGTTAAAAGAAAACTAACTCGGTAATTGTCAAAGTTTAAAAAGAACAAGTTTATGTTTATATTACACAAGGCTAACTATCGCGAGATTAAAATTTGAAAGTAATCGAATTTTATTCTAAGTCCCGCGCGTTTCCGACTCTTTAATGTTTAAATAAATCTACTATTCTTTAAATATTACTTTATTTTATCCCGCGTACACGATAGGTTGTTTAAATAATTGAAAGTTTATCGAAACTAATAATTTATAAGTAATTCCGTACGAAAAGAAAGGGTTTCGATGTGTTCGCGTCGGAGGTTAAAAGAAAACTAACTCGGTAATTGTCAAAGTTAAGAAAGAACGAGTTTATGTTTATATTACACAAGGCTAACTATCGCGAGATTAAAATTTGAAAGTAATCGAATTTTATTCTAAGTCCCGCGTGAGTTTCCGACTCTTTAATGTTTAAATAAATCTACTATTATTTAAATATTACTTTATTTTATCCCGCGTACACGAAAGATTGTTTAAATAATTGAAAGTTTATCGAAACTAATAATTTATAAGTAATTCTCTACGAAAAGAAAGAGTTTCGATGTGTTCGCGTCGGAGGTTAAAAGAAAACTAACTCGGTAATTGTCAAAGTTTAAAAAGAACAAGTTTATGTTTATATTACACAAGGCTAACTATCGCGAGATTAAAATTTGAAAGTAATCGAATTTTATTCTAAGTCCCGCGCGAGTTTCCGACTCTTTAACGTTTAAATAAATCTACTATTGTTTAAATATTAACTAAATGTTAACTATAATTTATCCCGCGTATATGATATATTGTTTAAATAATTATAAAATTACCGAAAGTATCAATTTATATGCTTCCGCGTTTAGAAAGAGTGAGTTTAGATGTGCACACGTCGTAGTGCAAGGGAGAACTGACTTGTATACTGTCAAAGTTAATCGAAGGACCGATTATGTTTATGTTACACAAGGACAACTACGCCGAAATTAAAATTTTCAAATACCGGAATATAATTTAAATTAGTCTAAGTTCCCCGCGAGTTTCCGTCTTTTAATCGTTTAAATAAATCTTCTATTGTTTAAATATTACTTTATTTTATCCCGCGTACATGATAGATTGTTTAAACAATTATAAAATTACCGAAAGTATCAATTTATATGCTTCCGCGTTTAGAAAGAGAGAGTTTAGATGTGCACACGTCGAAGTGCAAGGGAGAACTGACTTGTATACTGTCAAAGTTAATCGAAGGACCAATTATGTTTATGTTACATAAGGACAACTACGCCGAAATTAAAATTTTCAAATACCGGAATATAATTTAAATTATTCTAAGTTCCCCACGAGTTTCCGTCTTTTAATCGTTTAAATAAATGTTCTATTGTTTAAATATTACTTTATTTTATCCCGCGTACATGATAGATTGTTTAAACAATTATAAAATTACCGAAAGTATCAATTTATATGCTTCCGCGTTTAGAAAGAGAGAGTTTAGATGTGCACACGTCGAAGTGCAAGGGAGAACTGACTTGTATACTGTCAAAGTTAATCGAAGGTCCCATTATGTTTATGTTACACAAGGACAACTACGCCGAAATTAAAATTTTCAAATACCGGAATTTAATTTAAATTATTCTAAGTTCCCCGCGAGTTTCTGTCTTTTAATCGTTTAAATAAATCTTCTATTGTTTAAATATTACTTTATTTTATCCCGCGTACATGATAGATTGTTTAAACAATTATAAAATTACCGAAAGTATCAATTTATATGCTTCCGCGTTTAGAAAGAGAGAGTTTAGATGTGCACACGTCGAAGTGCAGGGGAGAACTGACTTGTATACTGTCAAAGTTAATCGAAGGACCAATTATGTTTATGTTACATAAGGACAACTACGCCGAAATTAAAATTTTCAAATACCGGAATATAATTTAAATTATTCTAAGTTCCCCACGAGTTTCCGTCTTTTAATCGTTTAAATAAATATTCTATTGTTTAAATATTACTTTATTCTATCCCGCGTACATGATAGATTGTTTAAATTATTCTAAAATTACCGAAAGTGTCAATTTATATGCTTCCGCGTTTAGAAAGGGAGACGATGATGTGCACACGTTGGAGTGTAAGAAAGAAGTAATTGAGAAACTGTCAAAGTTGAGATAAGAAGCGTTTATGTTTATATTACACGAGTCCAACTATCCCGAATTAAAAATTTTTTAGTATCGGAATTTCTAATTAAAATTATTTATGTTTCTTATGGGTTTCTATTTTTTTAATGTTTAAATGACTGTACTATCGTTTAAATATTAATTTATTGTTCTCCGAGTACATTATATATTGTTTAAATTATTATATAATTATCGAAAGTATTAATTTATTTATTTTCGCGTTTAGAAATAGAGAGAATGATGTGCACACGTCGGAGTGCAAGGGAGAACTATCTTGGTAATCGTCAAAGTGAAGAAAAGTCACGTCTGTATTTATATTTCGCAAGGCCGTCAATTCCGAAATAAAAATTTTTAATTATTGGTTTTTATATTAAAATTATGTTAAACGTTTCGATTTTTGTAATGTTTAAACGAATGTACTATTGTTTAAATATTGGCTTGTTATACTCCATGTACATTATTTTTTAAATGATTATAATATTATCGAAAGTCTAAATTATTTCTATGTGCTGTATGGGAAGAGTATATTTCGATGCTTACTCGTTGCGATGCAATGGAAAACGAATTCCAAAACTAATTCCAAAACTTTCGAGCGTTCGTTTTTGTTAGCAACTTTTTAACAACTTCAAGTTTGATGTTTAAAAGAGATATTATTTGTTGGTTGGGACATAACTTTGACGTTTATCCAACATTAATGGGAATGATGTTATTAAAAAGTGATTTTTTTAAATAGCGATCATTAAGAATTACGTTTATTTGTTAAGAAAACGAGTTTCATAGTCGAAATGTATTCAAAATTGCTGTTTATTAAGATAGTATTCTTTCTTATGTTCAATTCTAATCACACGGATACATACATTTGTATTAATAGGTTATCATATCTAAATAATTGGCAGTGAAGATGAGGAATCTATTTTATTTCCTCGGAATATGATTATCCCGATGATGTGAAAAATACTAAGATTATAGGTTTGTCACGTGAAATATTAATTGAAGCCGAATATATAATACACATAACATAGAATTATTTACTGCAGATAGTGTAATTTATTAACACGTAAATCGTAAGGATATGGCTTTTTTTCAATTGGTAGTGAAAGCCCATCGGCTTGAAAAACTTCGTCATAGATACGAGGATGAAAAATTGAGATCGATCGAGGTCTCAAAAGGTGCCAAGCATTTGACTTGGAGTCAAAAATTTCGTCATAAGAAATTCCGGTAGGTTTCGTTGACCCTTTAAAATCTTTATAAGGAAGATAAGACCTTCGTAAATAGGAACGTATATTACTCATATCATTTCGACTTATCGGACAGATGTAAAAGAAAAGTGAAAAACTTTTGGAGGAAGATAACGAGCTTCCCAGAAGATTCCTGGCTTCATAAAAAAGCAGTTCTTTTACGTACCAATGGTTCCTTTGAAAATTATATATTAAAAAGTATCTTTGGATTTATTGGAGGCGTTATTCTCACTTATATGTTCTTTATGTTCTTCGTTATACAATTAAATTTCTCGCTTACATCGGCCACCCTTTTGTGCTCGGTTATCGGAGTGATATTGACCATGGGTTTATCATTTTTCTACGGTGTTAGGTAAATATTCCTTCGAGAATATATAAAAAATATTTCAATTTGTTTTTAATTAAAATTATTCCGTTAAAGAGTCAAATAATTCACGTTTACTTACTTTTCATACAGGTGCGTCGTATTCTTATTATTACCACAGTTCTTTTCTAAACGTGGTCGGCAAGCTCTAATTGCGTATGCTTTTATTTTAACTCTTACTGGACCAGGAAAGAATATATTAAGAAATACATCTGTACTTACGGAATCTTTGGCTTGCGGCCAGGTAAAATTCGATTACATGAATACACATTTGCAATTTATTATATTAATATCATTTGAAGATGTTGTATCGTTAGGAAAAATTGAAGGCAGCTGTTAAATGCGTTTTGGATTTAATAAAGGAACCTTTTTATGCATTAAAAGAAGCGATTATGAAAGTAACCAAAGCAGTGAGAATTATCGTATCGAGGATCAAACAAACTTTCATTGCTATAAAAAGAATAGTTCTTAGCATACGTATTAAATTATTACCTTTTCGTCGTATTTCGAATTGAACGAATTTAAATCAATATTGCCGATTAAATTCTCTTTTTTTTCTTCGCAGTCAGAGTAATAACCGCAGTTTTTCAATGGCTTGGAAGTATTATAAACATATGCAATAAAAAGTTAGGCACGCCTTTTGAAAGATGTCAAAGAGTTTTCGAAGGTGCCGTAACCGATTGCAGAGCTAAACTTGGTCCAATTTTTGGTAGGATTTGCAATTTGACGTATATCGTAGGTGCTCTCTGTTGGATAGTTAAACCATTGGATTTTATATGTATGCTGGTTTCATACGTCGCTGATGCCATAGTCGCTGCCGTAAAGAAAAGTAACAATCGTCTTTTTATTTCCAACGCTTATGTTCTATTAACGAATTTGTTATTTTTTTTAGAAATTCGAAGATTCACCAGACACATGAAAACGATGTTCTATGTCAAAGTCAAGTTTTCGCATTCATTTCATTTCGAAGTGAATAAAACTAAAACGATACACGATATTGCTACAAATATTTCTTCTGAGATTAGATCAAGGACAAACAGATTTATAATGGTTTTCGATTGGGTCAACTTTCTAACAGCTTTTTTCATATTTTTCATGTTACTCAGGTATGAAACGAAAAGGATAAAATTTCCATAAGATAACTTTTATTAATTTTCTCTTTCTAAGGGTTTTACATTATCGACACAAATGGCTAACGAGCGAGAGATATAACAATAAATATATTACCGATGATATTCGTACGATCGATTTGATAAGAGCTCGACAGGATAAAGAAACGATTTTACCTTTAAATCCTCGGGAAAGAAATCGTTATGTATCATTATCGTCGATTAAATTAATTAAAACTGAAAGGGTCAAGTTAGTAAAATCAGCGATGTTTTTGAGCTTGACTTCGATCAAAATTTGTATGTATATAATGACGGATTATAGCCTTTATTGGATACTCGATACCATCAGATATTACGGTCGTATACAAACGCAGGTATTCGTTAATAATTATTTATCGAATAAGCACCATTTTGATTCGAACTATAATTAATTTATCGATTTTAATTATTCGTAGATCGAACAGCCAAACTCTGTTGGTGTATACGTTTCAGGAACTGGCTTTCTTGCAGAACTTTACAGAAGTATTATAAAGGCATTTACTCCACACATTAAAGACATCGAAATCAATTCGGTCCCATGTCTCCCAGATCCGATACCACCAAGTTACGATGGATACATAAGAATCCTATCTCTGATGATATTATGTTGGATCATGATAATTTTCGAACCCTATTGTCTTCGACTGAGAGAAATTGTGATGTGTCAGTATTATCCCGATAGAGCGAAGCAACGAGCAGCGTGGCTTTACAATCATATAATGCGGTAACTTAAATTTTAATATTTATGTATATGCAATTACATCAATTTTTTAGAAATATATAAATTATTTTAGTTCGAGAGGAAGTTTCGTTAAATTCGCGAGACGTCAATTACGTCGAAAATTTGGTATCAATGGAGAGACTATAGAAAAAGTTACGTTCAAGCAACGTTTCATGGCTATCTTTCCTTTTATGAATATATTCTTCCCGCAAAAGGAACAAGCTTGTCTTTTGTGCGGTGCTGTTCAACGCGATGACATTAATCCGCACATTAAATGTCCGACACCAGGTTGCGTTGGATTATTTTGCTTGCAGTGTTTCGCAGATTTACAAAATATCTGTACGATTTGTCGATCGCCTCTGGAATATGGAGATTTGTCGGATATGAGCGAAGAAGTGTAACTTTTCTTATTACATATTGTTATTAATCGTTGTTATAAAGAAAAAGATTTTGAGAATAGAAAAGTTATTTTTTATACAGAGATTCCTCCGACGATCAATTAAGAATTGTTCATGAAAAGAGATTAAAATTGGCCGAGGCTGAAAGAAGGAGGAGGGAAAAAGGAAAAATAGATATCAAAGAAATATCGATGATACCAGAGGAATCGTTCGAAATGAAGGATGTAGGAGAGCAAACGGATGAAATGGAGTTCGAAGATTACGAAGAGAGTAGTTCTACATCTGTTTACAGTTATAGTATGTTAAATTATCGAAATGTAACAAAAATCTACATATGCGTAAATCTATGTACTGGTTAAATTAGGCTATCAAGATGATTTAACACGGGAACCAGAGGTTTATGAACGAAAATTACCATTCAAGGATCTTGAAGCTCAAAGATTGCGGGATGATGTTACTATTCAGGTTTGGTAGGACTAATTGGAACTATGTGTGTGTGTGTGTGTGTGTGTGTGTGTATTTGTATATGTATCATTGTGTCATTTCTTAAACAAATAATTCTCTCTTAGTATCTTACATTACATTACATCATACAATAAAATTTAGATATTTAACGAGCCAATTGCAAGAAGCATAATGTTGAGCAGTGATACAACGCCGTCTTGTTTCGTCGTAAGAGCACATAGAAAAGTTCGTAGCAGGTTAAAGAAGAAATCTCGTTCGTCGTATCCTCATAAATATAGTTATTCTTCAACGTCGATAATAGACTCGGAATGTTGGCCAAGTGATGAAGTAAAAGAGGATGAAGTGATACATATAGAAATCAACGATGGTTCCAATGAATTACTTATAAAGGATAAATGTGAAGATGAGAAAAATTATTATAGCCGTGTAAGACGAATTATGGCAGCTCTATTAAGAATTCCTTGGATCGTTAGACGTGTGAGTGTTCGTATCGGTTCAATGTAACTTATTGAAAATCAACGTGTCAAGAATAAATAATTGTTTATCTAAAGGGAAGAAAAGGATTACAATCAAGGAGACCGTCTTTGATAAAACGAATTATTAAAATGTTGAATGTAAAAAGATCTACTTCGCCTGTACAAACGTACAGACGTATAAAAACTAAGAAGAATTACGTTGAAGATACGTCAATGTCATCGTCATCATCTTCGTTCAGTGACGACGATGATAATGATGGATCTTGTTTAATAAGCAAACGTCAATCGACAAAGGATACTCTCAGAGCTAAAAGAGCTCGGTGTCGTGTAAATTGGGAGGATCCTGAAGATATTATACATTCTAAGAATTCTAAACAACGGGAAATTCTTTGTCCCACAAAAATAGATGATACTAATTGGCAATATCCTTGTGAAAAGAAATTTCCTACGAAGGATTTACCGAGGTATAGTTTCAATCAATTACTCGATTCAATTTGATTTTTATTATAATAATAAATATTCGAGTTAGGCACTTGGAACCAATTTCGAAGTATACGTCTTATCATGAAATCGATGAAACCGCAGATTCACAATCATCGTGTAGATGCGTTCATAAAGGAGACGATATAAATCTACTGTCAGATGCGAAAACGTCATCGAATAGTCGAAAAACTGATACTTGGAACATCGTTGGCGAAGATGAATCACAAGTAAATCGACGTTTATTATAAATAAAATAATTTTGACGATTATTTAAATAACTTATATTTTTAGAATTCTAATCTTCTACGATTCGAGCATACGTGCGTAAACGAGAGACTAGGAAAGATCAAGAATGATCAAGATTCAATGACGGTATCCGAAAAAACAGAAGAAAGTTCAATACATGGAGAAGAGAGTGATGCAAACGAGTCGGACAATTATGATAAAAATTTTAATGTAGAAACCGATCAAATTATAGGGGACGATAGAGGAAAAAGGAAAAGAGGAGTTACTAAATCAAAGCATCGGAAAAAAATAAAAGGATCGCAATTATACGATCCATTGGCAGGTTTAGAATTGTACGAAAGTGAAAATGAGAGAAGAAAATTAGATAAACAAAAAAAAGCTATTCATTCTCGTGAAAGAACTATTGGGAAAGTTGACGTAGGAACTGATTCACGAGATCAAAGGAAAGTTATGCAAACGAAGCTGGTAAAATGTTGGCCAAGTAAAAAAGACGAACGAAAGAAATGTCAAAAGTCGAAAGAAATTGGTTGCCAATCGACCAGACTTACCGAATCGAAAGAACGACGATGGAAAAAGTGTATAGAAGAATATAAAAAACGTAAAAGGTAATTATAAGATTATGTTTGACAAAATTGAGCATACAGTATTCTATAAAGAAATTTTGTACATTTCTAATAGGCACAGAAAGAAACGTTCAAGTGATTTAGAGATTAAATGTTATCGAAAGAAACGCGGCTTTAAAGATACATTAATGATGACGAATAAACTATATGTAAAGGGAAAAGATCGCAAGAAGGATGGAACGTGTCATAGATAGTAAGTTAAAATCGTTATATCAAACATTTTATAAGATCTATAGTTTTGTGTAAATAACAGCACGTGCGACCAATCAAATCAATTTCCTGAAGATAAGAGGAGAGATTTCATTCATGAAAGACTTTATCCTAAAGAAAATCAAAGACAATTAATTTCTGGCTTTATACCCATAATGTATCCCGAACATATGCAAACTTACAAACCCTTTTACGATTCTCACGAGAGAGATCGTGGAGGAATATCAATGCGAAAAGATATAAGCGACATTGAACCAATTTTTCAACAATACAGTTCACGAGTTTGTCAACGTGAATCACACGACGATAGATTGCGATATTTTGATGAAGAATATTATGATACTCGTCAACATCGTGAAGATAATCAAACCGATGGTAGCAGTCAACCAGAGTAATATCTTCTCGAATAATGACAATAATCAATCTACAAATAATAAATTCATTTTTAATTTGATAAATATAAACTATCATGTTTTTTCTCTTCAATTAGATATTATTCAGACGATAATGATGAAGGCGTTACTACGTGTACTGACAATGTAATCAGTTCTTCGAAAAGTTCATCCTCAAGTTTTGAAAGAAATAGAAAAGATCCACGTCATTATAAAGAAACCATTCATTATACCGAAGAATCCCAAGAAAACTTTCATCCTCCTATGCTGAGAAAATATTTACCTATGTATCAAAAGTCAGAGTTGATCGAAGAATTGAAGGAACACGATAGAATGAGATTAATTAGAGAAAGAGAAGCCGTAAGATGTGTTACTTCGAATACTTTAGAGTCTAGGAAGTTACCGTTCGTCGCTAAAATGCAAAAAGGCCAAAGCTTAAGCGAAACCTTTGTGAATTGTGATCGCGGAAAATCAGTGAGCGCATACAAAATTATTTAATTATTATTGTTTTGGTAGATCATTTGAAAAAAAGAAATAATTGTTTCTTTTTTTAAATAATTATCTGAAATTAATCACAATTTCGTAGCGTCCATTAACACAAGCAACAAGAAATGAGAAACTTCCTTACCAAGAGACCAAAGCGTTCAAAGAAGTAACAAAGGAATTTCGTAGACGAACATTCTCTACAAAAAGGGATGAAAATTTTCGAGAAACTGAACCTTTAATCTCGCAATCGAAAAAAGCTGATAAATCCAAAGAAGTCAAACAATTGTTTCCTCCCAATCAAAAGAATCGAAAATCCAATTTCGTTTCGAATATAACCAACAGAATAGTTAATGCATTTAAAGTAATTAATACAATGTTTCTAAGCGTATAAAATGGATAAATATTCGTATTGCATATGCATTTCTTATTTTATTTTCGTATGTAGCCAATGCATCAGAAAAAAGGTACGAGGAAAAGTCCAGAAGCTCATGAAATGTCCTTGACTGTTTGCGAGCAATCAAGTAGAAGACATTTATCCGACGTTTCATCCTCGGCAAATGATACGACAGATAATAACGATGTGATTTGGTAAAATTGCAAGCACAATTGCAATAATAAAATTCAATAAGTCAATGAGATATTTTCATATGCTGTGAAGTTAGTACGAATTATCGATTGTTTCACAGTTCCATTTCTTTTCTTCCCAATTTGATTATGATTAACCTAAATTAAAAAAATTTTCAAGTAACCGTTGTATATATGAGACGAAATTTTAAAGCTCCCTTTTTATTTAGTAGCGAAAACAATAACAAAAATCGAACGATGTTAACGATACCGATAATGAAGATAGTGAATAGCCATAAAAATCTTTAAAGCTAAAGAAAATATTTACATGTAACACAAGGGGAATGCATCAAAAAGTACAATGGAGAAAGATATATAAAAGATAGAAATCTCATTATTGAATATTTTTTCATAAGCAGAGATGTCGACGAGTATAGATATTCACTCGTTCCTGAAGAAATTTTCGAGAGCGTGGAAAAGAAAATTAAAAGGGAAAGAATCTACGTATGACGTTCAAATTTAACAAACTTTCCGCCAAGATTAAAATTATTAGACTTAGATTTCGTTAAGATAAAAATTATAAGGATTAGAAAATGTTTAAATTGGGACGAATTCTTTGTAAACACCCACCGAAATCGTCGGACGCTGACCCGGAAAATAAGAAAGTTAAAATTTGCTCTTCGAAATCGAAAAATGAAAAACTAGCGAAGCATCAAGAAAGATCAACTTCGATACCCGTCTTTGAAAAAATGCAAACGCGAAAAGAATCGAAATTACAGCTAAGCGATAAAAAAAGCAAAGAAAGTATTGGAAGAAAACATTATTCCAAAGAGTCTTGTAATTCGAGGGCTTGTTCTAAAGAAAACTGCGTGACGGGAATGCCTGACAAAGAAATTGATCCGTCAAAACTAACCGAGATGATAAACAGTTCGATCAAAGAAGCTATGCAGACATTAATAAAGCAGTGTGCAATGGTATTTAAGATGCAAGTATCCACGATAATCTTTAGAATCGTTTGCGTACATTACTGTATGTGAAATTCCCCTATATTTTTATTCCCCGAGACTTAATTAATTTTTTTCCCAATATCATATTATCATTAAAATAATATTCAACTTTTTATCATTGTAGGATGACAAAAAGTCAATCGTTCTATTGGAGAATAAATATAAGGAACGACCAAAAATACGAACTACCGAGGAATCTTTCCAGAGGAGCAAAGACGATAGCAGATGCCTAGATAGAGCACTTTGTTATCCATGCGATTATCCGAGAAAATATGAAAAGCGTGCATTGGGATGCAATATGAAAAGGTGTAAGGGACACGTTAAAGATACGCAATGTCCTAATCTAAAAGAAACTTGTCCGGAGAAAGGGAAAAAGGGTTGTAAATCGCCAGAAAATGTACAAACGGATAATCGTCGTATGACCGGAAATGTTAACATTTATATATGTTCGGAAGCCAGCGAGAATGCTCAGGTAAATATCTTTTTGCAATATTCTTCTTTAATAGCTTTTAAGTATTACTATGTAAATATATATTGTTCTTAGCGCAAAGAAAAACAAAAACAAAAGTCTCAATCCTGCACAGAATCGAGTTCCGAAACGACAACGGAACGCACGGACTCGACGTGTGCACGAACATCAAGTGTCCCATCTGACAAGCTCGTGAGTAATACAGAAACAAGATGTCAAACGTTGGAAGAAGAAAAATCTGATAATTGTTTTTCAACGGGAGAAAGACCATGTGCCGTTCAGAGCGACGAAAGTAATGGCAGTTGTTGCGATAGAAAGTACGACGATTCATTCGAGATGGAGAATCATTTCGAATTTTCGAGTTGTGAGTCAAACAGAAGCATGGACATTGATAGCATGATCTCCTCTACTTCTTCCACGAGAGATGGTTGTTGCTGTCAAGATACAGCATCGAGTTACATTGGCGTCCATCATGACTTGTCATGTTTAAGGCCTAGATTTACGATTTGCCGTGACAAATTTGAGAGTCCCTCTACCGCAACGATTTATCAAAAATGTCCTGCTTATGACCAATTAGGTCAGAGATCCGTTTGTACGAAAGTATCACGTTTATGCTGTCAAGATTCATTGAATCGATCTATCGATCAACCTTGTAACTATTATCGTGGTGTAGTTAAATGCTGTTGTAAAAAACGACCAAGATTTCGGCCGATTAAAAGAAGAAGCTCGTTCGATGTTCTTCATACAAGAGGATCATGTCGAAAGTGGTCGAGATGTTCTTGTATCATAGAAGAGGACGAAATAGATGATCGATGCATGAGTGCTCCGATATATAGAAGTAATTGTTTCGACAATCCGGGCAATGAAGGAACATTGACAAATCCGGAAAATTTGCAAGACTGTAGGATTCACGAAGCCGTAGATAATTGTAATGTAAGATCGAACGAGGACGCAATGACAAATCCAAAGGCCGAAAGAAAGAATGAAGATATGTTAGAAACGAAAAATAAAATATCCTCGAAATGTTTACAAAATCCTTTTCAGAGAAAATCAAAAGGTGTTTCAAAAAGCCAAATGAAAATATCATCTTCACAGAAGATAAATCAACAATCAACGCCGTCAAAAATTGCTTCTTCCTCGGAAAAAAGTAATAGTTCGATAAAACGAGTTTGTTGTAACGTAGATCAGGATTTAAAAGGTAAACGTTCAGAAATGTCCACCAGAAAAGGTGTAAAAGAAACGTTCGATGTAAAGGGACGAAAACAAAGGAACTTATCGGAGAAGAAATCTAAGAGTACGTTCTTGGGTCGATCCATTAAAAAAGCAATGAATATAGTGAAGCAAAGCAAAGTGACCCAACCGAATATCGAAAAGGATACATTAGAAAATAATCCGAGAGATGATCGAACGAAACGAGTTCAAAGGGACAAGTCTGATACCGAAATATGTTTTCAAGGTATTTAAAACATTGTTGAATATTTTTTCTTCTTTCTTTATTTTTTTTTTTTCCTTTTTTTTTTTTTTTTTTTTTTTTTTTATAGGCATCTTCAGTTTTCATACTTTAAATATAAAATACTCGTTTTGTCATCTTTACTTAGGTGAAAAAGAGAACGTTGAAAATCCTGGAAGTTTACGACGAATCGAACAAAGAAAAGAAGAAGAAACGTTAGACGCGTCTAAGGTAATTGGAAATCCAAATAAAAAAAGGCCCAAAACGAAATTGCAAGCTATGTTGGCGCGTAAAAAAACGTCCAAATCGATTAACGAAGAAATGTGCGATGTAAAAAAGTCGGAAGATAAGAAAAAAACTGAACGTGTTAAAGATACAAAAGGGAAGAGTGAATTATTAAAGAGGAAAGATGCGACGGGAGATTTCGAAGAAGACTCGACGAACAAGGAATTACCTTGTACTAAGATAACGTTTAAAGGAGAATCAAGGGAACCGGAAAATCTTGGTTGTCAAGCTGATGGTTATTCCCACGAGGAGAAATGCTCGAAAGCCACGATAAATAGATGCTGTTACTGTCGTCTACCTGTTGTAGATTGTATCTGTGAATGTAAGGAATAGCTTAAGTTCCCGTATTCCTTTGAAATTTACCTCAAACAATTCTCTTTTCTTTTTCAAAAGATCGTCCTCTCCCATGCCAACCTATTGTAATGGACAATTGTAAATGCGACAAACCGATAACTCGTGACGAACTTTGTCAAACGGGAAATCTCTATAGGTAATAACAATATCAAATAATCAACATAGAAATATAATAGTTTTAATTATATGATACAGGTATGATCTACTGTGTTTCGATTGTCACAAACCAAGGGACGAATGTTGTTGTAAAACAACTTGCGTTGATCATTACATTCCAACATGCAAACTCGCATGTAATGAGACCATTTGCGTTTATTGCGAATATCCTAAAGATAAATGTATTTGTAGAGCACCGATTCGTAAATGTTCATATTGCGATCTCTCATTCGACATCTGTAAATGTCATCAGTTTGAAATTTGCAATGGTAGACCTATCGTCACAGATTGTGACGGTAATCAACAGATATGTGTTACGGCATGGAAACCTAAACCGGAAGTTAGACGATATTTTTCAAGAAATTTCGACGCCTTTCGATCGGATTCCCTTGATGAATGTTACTGTCATAAAACGCATAAAGCTTATGATTTTAATGATCTTCCTTATCAACGATTGAGTATTTTTTCGGATGTGATGAGCGAACTTCAACAAAAAATAAGTGATTCTGTGTGTTGCGAGAGATGTAAAATGACCCCTTGTTGTTGCAGAGCTTCTAGAAACGTGGAAGATGACGAAAGGAAGGGAAGATGTTATGTCAGGTAGAATATTTATATACTTTTTCTCAACTCATTGCGTACTAGAATAAACGTGATATATCTTTTAAAATATAAATATATATATATATATATATATATATATATATATCTCTGAGTTATAACATATATATACATATATATGTTATAACTCAAAAATAAGACAAAGATCAAGGAGTCCGGAAGTAAAGTACGTGAGAGGAAAATCTTGTAACAGTCACAGATGCGGTCGAAGTCCAGACAGGAACATTCAACGAAGAACGATGCCTTTTTCTCGTATTTGCTGTTTCTGTGAAGCATTACCTTGTAGATGTAAAAAAGGAAAAATAACTATAAGGAGACCACGGGCAAAATGTTATTATTGCAAAAGTTGTCCCTGCACGTAAGTTAAATGAAATATTCAAGAGTAATTTGTCGTACGATATCCTGATGTAGCGTTTTCTTTTTCTTTTTTCTTCTTTTTTTCTTTTTTTTTTTTTTTTTTTTTTTTTTTTTTTTTAATTGCAAGGATTACCAATTGGGAAAAAACTTTCATTGTATCGATTTACAATAACTTTCTTGCAGCTGTATCAGTGCAAGGGAATTTAACAAATCAAGGTCATGCAAGTGTGGTGATTCACCGTGCCGTGCAAAAGAGAAGGAAACTACGGTATGTGGAAAGGCATTCAATGATGCTCGGAAGAAAAAAGAAGAGAAGGTATTTTGTAGTCGAGAGTAAAATCTGCATCTATCCGTTGACTAAAAATCTCTTGTAAAAAGAAAACAAGAAATATATGTACAGAGATAAGAAACTCATTAAGTATAATACTAGCCTAGACATTTTCAGAATAACAAAATGTTTTATAGCTTTTCTCATACGTCTACTTAAATATAAATTCTTTTTTTTTCTTTTTCCAAAAAGTTACACATACGTAACGAATCGTTGTTTAGTTTACATGATACAGCAAACAATTGTGAATTATTTATTTGCATTTAGATTTATTATACTATCCCATGTTTTGCTGTGAAATGTTTTTACGTGCATATTATATTATAAACAAATATTGCAATAATTTCGTCATAATTTATAAATATATTATCACAATTAAAAAAATTGGTCATTCAATATTGTTCTATGTATTATGATAAACACACGTACATACGTAATAATAAATCTCATCTGACTCTATCTATAAGAAAATTGTTGGTAAAATTTATTACGCGGGATTTCCGTATTGCGTAGAAGTAGATAGTCTTATCAAACATATTTCAAAAGTTGTTGAAATCTAGTTGACGTGCCCATAAGTTGAGGAGCACTGCAATAACTGTAGCAAAATTACCGTAAACGAGTTGGAACATAAATTTAGTGACACGAGTAATTTTCGTCGCTTGAGCAACCGTAGAGAAGTAAACAAATATGTCTCGATTTTTCTTCAAAATAAAAAAGAAAAAAATAAAAAGAAAAATATTTTATTTAAATTAACTTAAAATTCCATCGAGAAGTGATAGCTATAACGATAATTATTGCAACTAATGCTACTAAAAAACAACTTTATAAATTTGTTATATACAGTTATAATTTTTAGACAAATAAAATTTTATTATATATTTAAGTACCGCATAAAAATGAAACATAACAGCATTGTGTTGAAATCGTTTTTTTTTTTTTTTTTTTTTTTGAAATATCTATAATAAACTTGAAGAGTGATCTTTTAACGAAAATTCAATGCTCGTTTGCGGACAATCTCCGGAGTAGGGAGCATCTTACGCTGCATATAAGATGCTGTAGTGGAGTTGTACTAGACCGGTAGAAGCCGTAGACGAGTAAAAGTCGTAGTAGTGGTACGCATTAGACAGTGTTCGTCGTGCAATCTGAACGATCGGACATAATCGTTTTTCTTTAGTTTGTATTTTTGTAAAAGAATCAATCTTAAAAATAATATCTATAAAAATATCAAGTGTTTTGAAGCACTGTAATAAGTTATTGAAAATTGTTCTCAACGATCGATACAATTTGAATTTGTAAAAACGCGTTTATAATCGAATTCTCGAAAGGAAGATTAAAATATTACGTGAAAAATGAACATTTGTAATCGTGAATCTCAATTATACGAGCCCTGTCGTCAGAAAAGTTTAGGGGGAGAACATTTTCGACATGGGAAGGTTTCTACGCTTCGAGAACTCATCGATGCGTTACACGATGCTTTCAAGACCGACCACGTGGACATCGACCACGTTCAAGACTTAATGGAATCATATAAGAGCAATCCATTGGAGTGGAAGAAATACGCCAAGTTTGACAGATACAGGTGACTATATACATTCGACTACATATAGTTTATCGATTGAAAGCAAGTGTCTTACATTGCATATGCTACATCAATCGATACTTTGTTTTACTATGTGATCATTAACATAGCTTTCGATAACGAGTTTGAAAGACTGCGTTTCAAAATAAAGTTGAAAATGTTATTCTTTATTTAAAAAGAACGTGATCAAATTGTAATCATGTTAAATGTCGATGGGTCAAACTGTATAAAAAGATAAAGAAAAATTGTTAGATAAAGATTACAAAGAATTTTATAAAGCATTTAAGTAAATGTACATTCGCGAATGATCGTATGTTCATCGATCATCGGAATATTTGTTTATTATTCTATAAACGTATTTTTTTTTCTCAAATGTATAAACAAATATTTTCAATGATATGGTCAAATGTAATATAACACACAACGAAGGTCATAACGAGGTTATCGTGTTTCCCTCTTCAATTCGTTCCTCTCTTGTCTCATGTTTTCGTTTTCATTTTATTTTCTGTTTTGCTAAATAATCACTAATCACATATAACTGTTATCGCGTATTTGAGAAATGAATGATCGAACGAAATGAAGAGTATCAGCGATAAGGGATGGATGTAAGTCGTGGTCCATTATCTTGCACGTGATTAATGGGAAAGAACTAAATGTTATGAAATAGTTACATACTCGATATATTTAAAAATATATATATGCAAAAACATTCAGTACGAATAATACATTTTGTTCGGATTAAGCGAGAAATAATGTAGACTTTTACGGAATGTTACATCGAAGACCTTATCAATATAATTTTAAGTCGATAATTATCCATCTCTAAGAAGACGATATGTTTATATCTAGAAAAAAAATATACGATACCGAGACGTATACAATGATTTCTCATATGCAGAAATGATGAACAAAATTTTAATAAGAAGCATTACATAATTTCGTATATATATATATATATATATATAAAAGAAAATATAAAATATATTTTTAATCAAAACTTATTATCTTTATCTTGATCATACAGTTTCACTTTAATAGTATATTAGTATTGGAGAAAGTCATAGTTACGAATTTACTAAATTGCACACGTTCTCCATGTAGATATATCATTGTAAAAGAACTTATCCGGTGAATGGCTCGTTACCCATACTTTCCACGTATGGCCCCTTCTCCGTAGACATTCTATACGATCCAGAACATCGGTTCTTTGACATCCAGTCGAAACATTGTAAAGTACGAAAAGCATTACGAAGAAAACATAGTAATTTCTTTAACTGCAACTTGCCTTGTCGGTAAACAATTTTGTAAAATCCAAAACCTGTGAGATAATATGTGTGCGATATCGAAGAAGAAGAAAAAATACCTTATAAGCGTATTATTTTTTTCAAATGTTGCCATTGAATTTTAAAATAAAAATATTAAAAAGAAATGTCAATGAGTAATCGCGAGCAAATACACAGCTGACAATAAAGACTTATCTGGTGAAACTTTTTACTTCCTGTTCTATAAAAATAGCTTTGTTAGAACGTTTCTAATTTAGACGACTGCATTGTCCATAGGTATACAAGGAATTTGGTCGATGAAGGAAATGGAAGGTTCAATCTTATGGTGTTATGTTGGGGCGAAGGTCATGGATCAGCTATTCACGATCACGCAAACGCACACTGTGTTATGAAGGTTCTTCAAGGAGAACTTTGCGAGGTTCGATTTATTTATTTTAACTCGATACACTTTTGTACTTATTAATCTTTTTCTTTTCTATGCCATATCATTCATTTTGAAACACATTTAATATAATACAATTTTATCAACGTGGTCAATGACCACATTATTCAATAACATTATTTTTCACAAAGTCTCTTAATCGACGCATCGAGTTTATGAATTATGTTCGCCTTGTCTTTTCGTATTTCAATGTAATAAATGTTTATCTTCTCGATGAAGACACGGTACGAATGGCCTTCCATCTTGGAAAACAACGATACGATGAAAGAATCCGAGAACGAATTGATAGAACGCGAGAGGAACACACTCAAGCTCAACGAGATCTGTTACATCAATGGTATCAAATATTTTTTATTTCTCAAAGAAAAGAATTCAAATTAATTATTCCTAATATTTCAGATTCTTTGGGATTGCATCGAGTTGAAAATCCGAGCACCGTGAATCCTGCAGTATCGTTACACCTCTATTCTCCACCATTTTCAACGTGTTCTGTTTTTAATAAACAAACTGGACGTAGAAGTGCGTGTACGGTAACGTTTTGGTCGAAGTACGGAGAAAAACGAAATCGGGTAAGATTATATGAAATTATTTCAAATCTATTATTTCTATTAAAAAGTTTAACATTAAAATTTTATATAATTATTTCTTTTTGATAATCACAGGAAATTCAAAATACCCGAGATCCCGAAGACAATTAATATATTAAAATTTACGGTCACTCGCATGGGATGAATGTAACTTCGAAATTATTAATAAGAAAATATCTGAATATAGAATATAGTCAAGATTTATTATTATTATAAAGTACTTTGTAAGAACTTGATAAATTATGTAAGCAATGTACATATATATAAATAATGGTATAGAAAATACGTCTATTGATTTTTTATAGTCCATTCGTTTTTTATCTAATAAAATTAAAAAAAAAAAGAAATCATCATAGGTTCAAATCATCGCTCTTATTATTATAATATTACGATTTAATAAATAATAACGTGCGAAGTAGAAGTGTCAATGGTTTAAATTAGCCGCTATTAGGTACCATATTTAAAGCGTCATTGGGCTCCATTTTCAGCGGTATTGATTTTTTAGTATAACATAGACGTTCGTATTCATTTAAACGTAAGGTAATAAAATTTTTAAATTTCACCAATCATCGGATAGCAAAGTCATAAATGTACAGTATTTTTTATTTATTTAATCAACTATGATAGCGCTCACACACGTCCAACGTGTACGAATGTTGTATAAAATGATTTTGAGGTTACATCGTGGTTTGCCAACAGAAATTCAAGCCCTTGGAAATGAATATGTTCATGATGAATTTAGGAGACACAAAACATGCAATCCCACTGAGTCGCATATCTTTTTAAACGAATGGACGGTAACTATATCATAATAACACAATATTTAAATAATTACAACTAATATTTAAACAATTATGGATGGTTATAATATAATAACATAATATTTAAGTAACCAAACTTGATTTATTTATTAATAACTGTCCATATTAGATTGCCTATTATTGTCTTCATTGCTAGTAATATCTTAAAAAATAATATATATATATATATAGATATGAATACTTAATGTACAGGATTATGCGTTGTCGTTAGCTAAACAACTTGGATTGCGAGGACCACAGACATCAGAACCAATAGGAAAAAGTTTAAAGGAAGAAGATTTTGATAAATTAAGGGATGAACAATTACATCAATTATATGAATTAATGATAGCAGCAACAGGAAAATCTGAAAATAAATTTAGTAAATAATAAATTCAATATTTGTGAATGTAAAGAAAGTACAAACTTAAATATTTTAAAATATTTCCAATATTTAATTCAAATATAGTCTAAGAGAATTGCAGTAAAAGGATTCTATCATTCTAGTTCATAATTATAAATGCTCTGTAAAATTCCTTTGTTGTTTATTATATTTTTTTTCTTTTAATTTACATTTTAAAACGTTATAATATATTTGCGTAAATTAAAAATATGAAGTAGAATTGTCACATTTTAAATGTGGTGTATACTATAATATCGATTGATACTTTATTTATCGAAAAATATCGATATTCGTCATACTTCTAATAACGTAAAAAAGGTTATGAAATTATTTTCTTTTCGTTTAATTTCTAATGAAAAATCCATTTGTGATATTTAAGCTTTTAAAGAATAAATATTAATAAACATAAAAAGATGAAAGTTTGGAAAGAATCAGCAAGTTTGATTTTAACCGCACGACAGAGACAAAAGTATAATCGGGCTTTACCATCTTTAGTCGTAAGTTTTAACAATTAAATAAACCAATTTCTCTACGATTTATAATGACAAACATTTAAGAATGTATATTTTTAATATTACGATAACATAGTTTCAGTATAATTATAAATTACTATGCTTGAAACGTCATCGAAATTCGAGTTTTTATCCTGGATCGTATGTATTTCCTGGAGGAGTCACACATCCAGCTGATGCAGATTTAAAATGGCACAAGTTATTTCGTACCTTTGGTTTTGATACCAACAGCTTTAATTCCCTTTTTCCTAATACTAATTTACGTCCACAAATATTTCAATCAAAATCAAACGAATTGCCAAAAGAGATCTCTCTTCGTATCACTGCAATTCGTGAAACATTTGAAGAATGTGGTATTTTACTTTGTAAACAAGTTAAAAGAGATGGTATTCTTTCTAATTGGGCTCATACTCTACCAAGTAATACTTTCTTTTTATTACATATTTATCTTTAATATCAATAATAAAGTTAGAATATAATATAAATGTAATATTTCTAAAAAACAGATACATCATATTATTTGTTTAGTTTCCAAAGAGGATGTACAAAATTGGCAATCCAAAGTACATGATGATGCTACAGAATTCTATACAATGTGCGAAAAATTAAAGTGTTATCCAGATTTATGGTCTTTACACGAATGGAGCAATTGGTTAACCCCAACATATTTTACTACAAAACGTTATGATACTATTTTCTATATAGCTTGTATGCCATTGATGCCATATTACAATTATGAAACTATTGAAATGGAAGATGTAAAAGTAAGATATTTTATAGGTTATAGATTAAGATTGTAGTAGTATTATTAGCAAGTTGTTATTAAATTTTATATTTAGTGGGATACACCAAACAATATATGTGCAGCTACAGATATGATGATGGCTCCGCCACAGCATTATGAAATTTCAAGAATTGTCAAGTTTGAGTGCTTGGAAAATTTATTAGATTTTGCAATAGAGAGGAGTAAACTTGGAGTAGAATTATATTTACCGGTATGAGATAAACTTTTCAATTACACAATTATGATCTAATAATAATGCAATAATATAATTTTCTTAACAGATCAGGGTATTGTTAAAAGATGGAAAGATGCATGTCTTACCAGGAGATTGTATGTATCCTAAAAATCCAAGTTTAACAGAAAAACAAATAATCGATAAAACAAATATGACAATTGCCGAATTCGAAGAAATATCAACCATAAAGAACAGAATTATATTTTTTGATCTTGAAGTTAAGAAGGTTATAGTTCATAATTTCGATAGTACGGAGGGTCATATAGCACCAATGCCCGTCGAAGTTGTTTATATTAAATCTTTGAATAAAAAATAACAAAATGTTTTCTAAATGTAACATTTTATCTATTCTGTATAATTTTGCTTAAAAAAAAAATATATATATATATATATGTGTGTATATGGAGCAGAGTATTTAAAACGTTCAACAGGTTAGTCTATAAGAATTGAAAGACGTAGGTTCATGATTTGTATACTAGGTGGCGCTTCGATATGTCGAAAGTTTAGTACGTACATACCTATCTCTATTATTTTTGTCATCGAAGATACTAGCGCCATGTTTGTCGCCATATTGAAAGGTTCTTTCTTGTGAGTTTTCCGCAACGACGCACGTGGTGAGTACTTGGTCAAATTTTATACATATTTTCTGTATTATTTTTGATTTTTAGATTACGCATATTGCACTAAAACATATAATACTTAATTCGCGTTATATTATTAATTAGAATATTATCGATACGTCATTTTTATTCGTTCGATCTGTACGCATATTAGGTTCGTATTCTTTCGCTAGTTAAAACAGTTATTGTAATATAGAATTGTTCGAATGTATTTTAATCTAGGCGATTTTAATATTTATTATTACAGAAGGTTTCAAAATGTCGTCGCATCTAAACTGGATGATAATTCGTAACAATAATGCGTTTCTTTTGAAGAAACGTAATATCAACAAACCTTTTTCCACGGTTTGTAAAATTAATTTAATCCACGTTCTCACAGCATTTTATAATAAAATATTATAATGTAAGCTATTGACATAAATTTGTTGCTATTGCACGATATTATAGGAACCTAGCAACTTAACCAATCTCAGTAGTTACCGTTACTCCGGTTTGGTTCATAGAAAAAGTGTTGGCATAGTAGACACTCCCGACAAAAAGGGATTTACAGTTGTTTATAAAAAAGCAAATAAAATTACTAAGCCAGCAAAAGCTACTGTCAGAAGTACAATGAAGAGTGGAGCTCGTCGATCCTTATATAAATTACGGAGATTGCTTAAAGCAAATAAATATCGTGTAGACCTTACCAAGGTAAATTCAAATGAATATATACAGTTTTTTTTTTTCAATAGATTTTCTATTGAAAATATAACACAATTATCATTATTGATTAGGTTGCATTACGTCGTGCAAGTGCAGTATTAAGATCGCAGAAACCTTTACCAGCTAAAAAAACACGTGCGCCTAAGAAAGCTGATTAAATATGTATCTAAATAAATCTTCATTTTAATGTAATTTTAGATTTATTAATTCAGTGAAGCAGATATGATAATTTTTATGTTATTTGATGTTTATAAATAAGTATTTTCTTATTTATAATTTTTGTTAATGTATACTTTATTTACAATGAAATGATCAATCGTTTCTGCTTTTCTGTAGAGCTTTTTTTTTTTATTTAAAATATACCTAACTTTTTTATCGATATTCATATTTATTGAGTATTATAATATATTAGGGTATTTGGTGAGTATTAAATACTTATGTTCCATGATAACAATATATACTTATATTTAGTAATTTATCATATCTTTAGGTCCATCAAAAGTATTTTGAATATGGGGATTTGAAGAGAGAAAGAGAAATACTAGAAGATACATAAGATGAACTATTAAAAATGGTAATTAGTTTTTATTTGAATATAATATTAGTTATTTCATTATATTCTTTTGATTTAAATAAAATTTCTCATGATGAAATTATTTTTACCACCAAGATCTATGAGTGACGTGATTAATTTAAGTATTTGCTATCTGATATAAAGCAATTTTTGTAATTTTAAATATATATTTTTAATGTGGATGCCTATAATTGGGATTTTGCTTTATAGGTTATGATCTTAACTATAGGAAGCACCTAAGAATGGAGTATACGTGAATTAATGGTAATTATCATCGTTAACTCTTTTTTTTTTAATAGTTACAAATACTTTTCATATTTTCAATCATGCTAAATCCTAAATTTCTTTTTTTGAGTAATTAATTATTAAGAAAATCAATTGTGATGATAGTTATAGCCACCAAGATCGATGATGGCCATGATTAAATTCTATTTGCTACTCTGATATAATTATTTAATTATTTAAAATCTCAGTGACAATTTCTATATATAAATTACATATGTAAAATTTTTTGTTACAGTTTGGGAAAGAAAATTTTACGAAGATCACTCGAGCGGAAAATTACAAATGTAAGTTAAATACATACTTTTAGAACTTAAAAATTTCTTAAAATTTATTATTTTATGATGAAATTCTTTACCACCAAGATCTATGAGTGCCATGATTAGTTTACGTATTTGCTAACTGATATTACATGATTTTCTTTTTATTTAAACATATTTTTTTACTGCAGATATAACAAAGTCAAAATATATTTTACAGTTATCGATTTGGTTGCTGTAATGGAGATTATTTTAAGGAAGCAACGTAATCGAGTACCAGATCATTACGAAATGGACGTATTTCATGGTAATTTCCTTATATTTCTATAATTGTCTATAGATACTATGATAATATTAATAATTTTATTCGAAAGTCGTTATTTCGAATAGAGAGAGTATTAATAGTGATATCGATTTATGAAAATTTACTTTTGATAAGACAAATCGTTCATTACATTATGTATATATAACCACCTTACATTTACGTAATCAATACGCTAATAAATATATATTTTAAATGATACACGTATTAAAAGTGAAATATATAATTATCTAGGACATCACGTTGTTATAGTTGTTTTTTTTGTTGAATCAATATTATGATCACGTCGTTAAGTTTTCCTTGTATTTTACAAGCGATTCTAAATCCGTTTACGCGTACACGGCAATTAGGTGTGAAAACTGTATGTTTACACGAAACGGCGCTAATGTCTATTTACACTAGTAACGAGGCCAACTTTGCAGCTCTGTGGTTAATCACAGCGCGTACGTGTTCCTTACAAATTAGCACGCAGACGGTATGAAAGGTATCTTTGCTCTTGTGTATCCCTTTTGCAGCCTTAAAACAACTATGACATTCATTTTATGTTGAAATTTGTCTGAATGTGGTGAGAACGAAACTTAGATCTCGTCATATAAAATGAAGAACTGTAGATAATTATTTGTTATATTTAACAATATTTTATCAATGCGCAAGTAGATAATTATTACTTGTACAATTTATATTTGATTATATTAATGCGTTTGTATTTATATTTAATTATTATTTATAATTAATTAAAATAAATCTTTCTTCGTATTCTCAGTTGGTGAACGAGTTGCTTTCAACGAAAACGATAGAATTTAATCGAATTCGAGGTAACTGTCAAAGTCCTTTTATACTTATAATTGGTTTACTATTGATAAAAACGTCGAAAGCAACGTTTGTTCTCGCGATTCGCGTGATATAAGAGAAGCACAGTCTTTTCTTCAAGCTCGCTAGACTCGACCAACCCTCCATCGATTTCCTTCGAGCGTCTCTTTCTTTAGAGCTTCGAAGCTGCTGCTGCTGCTGGCCGCAAAGAAAGAAAATAAGACTGAGATGACAGAAGATTTCACCGTAGAACAGTCCCTGTCACGAGCACATTTCCTTTTATATATATATATATATATATATATATATATATATGCTGTATGTATATATGTACACACGTATATAAGTAGCACATTCATATATATATATATATGTATATATATATATATATGTATACATATAGATCCAGTGGGAATCATGCAGGTGTAGAAGAGAAAAGGAAAGAGAATGATAAAGAAGGGAACGAAAAAGGCCAGATCAAAAAGGGAAGAAAGAGAAAGACTTTCCCTTCTGGTGGTGAAGTAGAAAGAAGAAAGAGAGAGAGAAAAAAAACCGAAAGGACTCATGAATAATGCAGGAGTGAAAGCCGGCTGAAACAATTGCTGGGCGTCGCCTTACTCCTAAAATTACATCATCAGATTTTCCACGAAATTAAAATATTATATATTCCATGCTGGATTCTTCCACCAGGAACTACTTGATGTCTTTTTCTCTCTCTTTCTCTTTCTTCCAAGTTAAATGTCTGTCCCTTATATTTCTTCCCCTTAATTCGCTGTGCTCGGCGAAAAAAAATGCCGATTATGCGTTTACACGACGTGACTCTGTAATGCGTTTCTAGTTGAAGTATCCTTCTATGTTAAAAGTTATTAGAAGAGGTTTCGGTCTTTTGGGGAAAATAACTTTGAACCTCTCTTACGTTACTGTAGTGAATTAGTACACGTGACCGTCTTTTTAGATATCGAAATTTTATGGAAAGTGTATACGTACAGTATCTATATTAATTTAATCAATATTCCAGAATACATTTATCTCTGATAAGAATTTCTTCAGAAAAAATCAGAGTCAGTTAAAGCATTAAATGTTGAATAGAAAATTGCTACATCTTATTGTAGCTATAACTATTTTTCTTTTTTTTTTTTTTTTTGTTCCTCCCAGTTTCAATTCTATAATGCTATTATAAATAATTGAATCTCACGATATATCAAATGGTGATTTATGGACGATAACGTATTTATATGTTTCGAATTATGTTGATTGACAGTTTTACCTTCTCCCTCTTTCGATTGAACCTAATCGATCTTAGAACTCTCGCTTGAAACCTTCCTTCTTCGCTTAAGTGCCATGATGTATCGAAGTAACCGATAAGTAGTTCGTTTCCTTCGTTTCCCTTAGCTATTTTATTTTTCAAAAGGCTTAATCGTTCTCTCTACCTTTATCTTCTTTTAATAGCGATAAAACAACGTAGCGAGGGTTTATTTTATTCATTTGGTAACATTTACCATCGATTTTCTGGTATGTAGGGCGATGGTTTCTATTAAAAACGAATAAGGAAAATAATAATTATTTTTTGTAAAAAATAAACCTGAAATAGATTGTCGACATATAAATATTATAAACTTGTACTATGCGTTAATTATAAAAAGATTTCTGATCAATTTAAATTTACAAAATTTCTCTTTGAGATCAGATAAAGTTATAGAAAAATGTAGAAATCTTTATTTATATATTTTTCGAAATTCTTTTAGAATTAAAATTTGTCGGTTAAAATTTTTTCGATCGATAGTTGCACGTCTTTTGTTTATATTAATTATTCGAGAAGAAATTGTTTTGTCACAATGCATTTTATTTCTCTTTGATATAAAAGTTGCTTTCGTATTTAATAATTTGTGTGTTTCCATTAACGGGTGTAATCGACGAGTTTGACTATTCTGTATCGTAGTATATACGTGGCCCAATTACAAATAGAAATATGAGAAGAAAATTATACGATTAGAGAAATTAGCGAATAAACGCGGATTCTTGGGAAAGTTCTATGTTAGATTTACAGAGTGACTCATCCAAAGTCCGTGGAAACTAGAGAAGCTTAATGATGATCGTTACGTCAGTTTCGAAGCATCATTTCTTCAACGTTGACGTGTTAATGAGCAGCTACGAAACTCGGGCTTGTTTGCCACGAATTGTTCCCACGCGCCGGAAATGGCACTTTTCTTGCTTGCTTATCATCTTACGAATAAGCCTCGAAGGATCACGTTAATCTCTAACAATTATAAAAACATTTCATATAATGACTTAGAATTAAATCGATTTTTTGTTACTTACATTATTAATTCAAATGATATTAATAATTATTTGTATAGAGATATATCTCCATTTGTTGAACGGTTATTTTTGTTACGAATAGATTCTAAAGGTTCAGGAGAGGCAATGGGAGAAGAATCGGTTAGAGTTTTCAATGAAAACTTTACTTATACTTTTTCGTTCTTACTATAGTGATTGGTGGATTCTCGAGAAGTACGGTCGAGCTTGCCCTGTGGCTTTACGTTCACACCGATCCTTTATTTTCCCAAGATATATTTTACAATTGAAAGCATTTCGTCTTTCTTTCTTTCTCTCTCTTTCTCTCTATCCATCTATCTATCTATCTCTCTCTTTCTTATTTGAAAGAGCTACGATGGAAGTAGTATTGCGAATATAACTCGGTTCTTAATGAAGCGAGCTGTATTTCGCTTTGACGTCTCGAAAAGCTTAATTATATTCAACGTAGCACGTAGTACATCTTTCTCAGTGGTTTGTCGTCTCTCTTCCATCATCGAACGCAAAGCACGTCTTCCTCTTTCGCGATGCTTCGTCGAGTCATGAAGAGGAGGTGGTGTAGGTGGAGGAGGAGGCGAAGGAAGAAGAGGCTGCTGGTGCTGTTGCTGCTCTTCTTAAACAGTTCGCGGGTA